CACCCGGATCAGTAATGAACTCGATTGATAGATGCCGCTACTTTTGACACTACGAACCTACAATGATTACTGATTGACTCGAATTTTTTTTTGTTTTCGCTTTGTTGGCGTTGTCAATGTGACATCTCTTTGGTGTCACAAGCGATAAGTAACAGGTGACGTACGCAAAAGCTATCACGAACGTGTGAGCAACTTGTTATAAGACAGCGACTGCCACTCTGCGTACATTTATTTGTCGGTATGCTGCTTCATTTAACAATCTGCTAATTGTCGTGGTGTCAGTTATTTCAGAAATGCTGCTGTTCATCTGACCCGTAAGTTTAGTATTGTTTTCTGCGTTACATTGCTTTCATTCAGTCATACTGTGACAGGTTCGCGTGGGCCCAGGTGCTCAAACGACAAAAGATGCGACGTAAACAACGACAGCACGTTTTGTATGACACGGACACACATATATGATGGGTTTACACTAACATAAATTATCTCAAAATGCTTTGCGGCGCTATTGTCCCTGCGCGTCCTTAGGTACTGTACATGGCTCCGCGACCCTGACACCGCGTGGCTATAGAGCACAACACTGCACGTGAGCCACTCACACGTCGCTGTCGACGAGGTGGTCCGACGTGTCGCCGTGTCACCTTGAGGTTGTGGTGCTACGGTGGAGTTTTCCTATCAGGACCGTCACTGGGACGGCCGCTTCGCAGTAGCGTGGCTCGCCAGATGCGTGGACCACGCCTCAAACAATGGTAGACCAGTCCCGCAGCTAGGCCTCAGCAGGCCTGGCTCGGTTGCCTCCGAAGTCACCAACTCGCTCACGGGTCTCGATGATGACGCTTGCACCGTGGTCGTCCGGCATCGCTCGTCATCCATGTTCGCATTAGGTCCACCCGTGAGAGGTTCGGCGCCGCAACGAACCGCTAGCCGTCGCAACCCTCGATCTCTTCTGCTGTCCGACTGCCTCGACCCGCTTGGTTTCTCGAGCGCTCCCATCTCCTTCGTATTCTTCCCGTTCCCTCATGAGTGGCGCCGCCACGCATCACACACATTTTTGTCCTCTTTTCATCTCTAAATCCTCATTGTACTAAAAATGTACTCCACTAGTCACAATACACTCTGTAAGGTAACATATCAGACGTCCCTTCGAGTGACCTCTCTGCATGTACATTCATCCTCCTCCTGGTTTACTTGCTTGAAGATCTTTTTCTTTTCAGATTATCTCCTCCACCTAACACCTTAAGCATGCCAAGAACGACGATGAAACAACTCACATAGCATTAGATGTGTTCACTCTAAGCAGAATTTCAAAAGTTTACGTATGGGGAGTAAGGACTTCTATCTTGTACGTATACATTTTTAACGTCGCCGTGTTACTGGCATACCGGATTGCGTTTATCGTGTTACCGGAACGCGTGTTTTGAAAAAATGTTGGTTCCGCATAAGCAAATGTTTACGTAGCTACGTAAACGTGCGTCTTTACGTGCGTGCAAACCAGTAAATGGCGATGATTACTAAATCTAACCTACAGGTATTTTGATAAGATCGAATCATCGCTGCGGCAAAATAGTGCGACGTTTTTAGCGCACACTGTATTAGTATAGGCAAAGTATGGTGAGCGGACACGTCAGAAGCTTGGGGGATAAACGAGATCTGTTCATGTTATAACAGTCTTTTTGTGGTCATATTGAAGTTATTTCGTGGGAAACATACCAGGATCATGCACGCTACCGATTCCGCTTGATAGATCTCCGATTGACACCTTCAGGAGTGGAAGACACCTCACAACTTTAGAAAACAAAGGTCCGAACCCGTGTTTTGTTAACCCCCCGTAACTTTCACAATAAATCAATTAGCGAGTCCCAGCTCTCACCACGCGAGGACTTGCTAACCCTCAAAGCACTCTTAAATATTTAGAAATTCCAACTTAACCTGTTTGGATGTTTTATGGGGTGAATTTGAAGCGTAATCAAGGGCAAAATTAAGTCTGTAATTAGAATAGTCATTCGTTCAATTTGAACCGTTTTGAATGTCAATAGGCGGTACACTTAGGGCTAAGCGTTGCCCGATTCCTTTCCCTCTAGCTCAATGATTGGAGCGCTAAGAAGAAAACATTAATTTCGTAAATTAATTTTCTAAGATCAGCTCATGCAGATAGCAACCTAATTTTAACACCTTTGAGAACGCAACAACGCGATCCTCGTGAAAAACAGTTTGCATATCTGTAGGCGAACTATAGTTATCCCGTTACAAATAATGAGAAAAAAATCAAACTAATACACTGTAATACTCGTGGATTGGAGCTGGCATACACGCATCTACAGTGAACACAAACTGAAGGGGAAGTGGGAAGGTTGCCAACAACACATTCAGTCTGTCACGAGTTCAGATAGGACTCCCAACTACAAACTATAAATGCCCCCTAGTTGTCCCTTCCTCATCCAGATTTTTTTTCGATTTTTCGTTATTTTTCTCCGCTTTCTAGAGAAGAAAGGTCGACGACACTTACGAAGACGCACAGTACGGGGAAGAGCTCAAGAGAGAATAAATGAGAGAAAGGGAAACGTAGCACTGGCGCAGGCAATAACAAAGATGACTTCCTTAAGGAAGACCGAGCGCGATCAGTAACGCCTCCAACCACAAGATCTGAAACAGACTCATCGGGACAAGGAAATAGTTGTTCCTATCAGCCCTAGATTTTCATGGTTATGGTGGGTGGTGCCCCCTTTCTAGGAGCCCTTTGGCTACAGCAGCTCACCGAACCTGGTAAAAGGTCGCCAGTTGGCCTCCCGTTTCCAGTTGCACGAACCGCGCCTCCCGCAACCAATTCAGGGGAGTGTTATTCAGTGTTATTCAACAAAGGCGAGACGGCAGCCTCCGGACGTTGTGTGCACTTATATGTAATATGCTCGGAGGTCGGTGTTGGTGCGCACCACAGACTTGTGTCGCTGTATCTATGCAGGTACAATCTGTCAAACCTGTGTTAATGTGGATGATGGTTAAAACATTTAATTCTGTAAGTTATGAACAGGGAGGGTGGGTAGCGGTCCATATTTGTACACGCGTACAGATATGCGACACGCCACGCACAAACACGATATGGGCACCCCTTTGAGAGCCCATTGGCATCGGCCGCGGTATGGCGCGCTCAACCGAGGCTCGTTGGGCCCGTCCGGTCAGAGCAGCTGAGCAGGGCTGCCTCCCAGGCCTCCAGGGAAAGGCTGGGTAGAGTGGTAAGGTTGGGAGTTTTTGACACGCCCACACCACGTGAAAAATGTCAGAGAAACTTTCCTCACAATGCGGGCACTTGCCCGTGCAAGCGGGGTTGAAATGTTTCGGGACCGCCGGGAACAATCAAGTTTTGCTCTAAAGGCGAACGAGGGTTCACTCTTCCGCCTTTGTGAGGCCCTTACAGCGTTTGGGATAGATCGGATTGCCGAAGTAAGGGTACGAGGATGGTTCCCGGAGAATGAGCGCGCGGGCAGCGGCGTCGGCCGACTTATTACCATGGAGCCCCGTATGGGATGTAGCCCGAATGACCATTTAGTGCGTGTGTGCACCTGTACTGGCTGTTCTGCAAAACTTTCTACGCTAAGTAGGTAATATAGCCTTGTTCGATATGGCGGAAGGCACCCTTAATAGGCGGTAATGACTCTCAAGTTCAGATCTGCAGTGGCTAGTGCGATGGCGATCTCCTCCGCGCGCGTAATGTTTTGTGCACGGAAGACGAGTCCGTTTAATGCGGTGCTTTCGTGAACGACCACAGCCGGGTACCAACCCTCGTGGTGAAGGTCGGAAGCGTCCACGTAGAACACTCCGAATTTGTGACCGTAGTGGCGAGCCAAAGCTTCCAGTGCTTGTTTGCAGGCAACACCAGTCCCGTGCTTGTCCCTTGTTTAAGTTAGAATGAGAGGGAGCTTTAGTTCGCCTACCTAGTGTTTGAGATTCGAGCATTTGACTTGGCGTGCCAGGTGTCCAAATGTCCCCCCGAAAGATGTGTTTCGTGACTCGACCTGTCATGCTTCAAGCCAAACGACAGCGGAGAAATCGACCTTGCGCGATTTGACTCGTCATACGACGCATCCTTTTTTGGGGGGGTTTTCAGCGGTCTGGCTATGTAATCCTGTGCTGCCCTTTTCTGTCAGGTCGAAAAAAATCTCAGCATATCCAGGGAATGAATGATGATGAGTGGAGCGAAGCGTCTATCAATCCGTCCATGCGTCCATGCATCCGTCCATCCGTACGCGCATCTGTTCGTGCGTCCGCTCATCCATCCGTCCGTCCATCTAGTTAACACTAAATACCGCCATCTCGATTCTTTTTTCATATACTCATCATACCGTACCGCCATCCAGCGGACAATCCAAGAACTAAACGAGAGCGCGTGATGATCTCTGCTGTCAGCACTTTAAATACCGAGAGCGTAATATAACGACGCCGTGCCACGTTTTTCATAACATCTGGACATGCAGACATGAGCCCGAGGGCGGGTATGCCCGAGGACAGGTTATGCACTACGACAATGAGGGACGCACAGGAGCTTCGCCCCTAAAAGACCCAGGATTCGACAGTGTCCACTTAACTAATCATGCTAGAGAATAAAGAAACTGTCTTCGGTGAAGCGTGCGGCAAAAATGACCATTGACCGATTATGTTGAAAAATTGGCGTCTTTGTATCATAAATAATAACCTATTTTGCTTTTCTGTCGCTGAAGCACAATTCGCACGTATGTTTCGAAAGTATTTGCATTTATCGAAAAAATTGTGCCTATATTTACAATTTTGGTGGCCTAGAACGTTGTTTTGCCTGCCTATTTTTAGCGCCCGATGCCTAAAAATTCGGCCTCTACTTGATGCACGAGTTGTATTTTAATTTGTTATTTTTTATATTCTTTCGTTGTGTGACTTTATCTATTGCTATTTTGCGCTTTTTGAGGATTCTACACGACTACTTCAACAAGCAAACCACCAGCGTGCAGCGAAGAATTCTTATATATCACGCGAAATTACACCGGTTGCGGTTTTGCGCATTTGAACGCTGCGACGAACTCTGGCAGCGTTTTGACGGGCTCATTGCAGCGATGGCTCGCGTCACCGTACAACACGTCCACATAGTTGGCGCTGGAGCAAAGTGCGTAGCAGGATGCTACGAAAAACAGTCTGTCTTGTGCAAGGCTCGACTCGGTCGGGTATGCGATGTTTGGGTGTCGGGCGGCACTTAGCCTGTAGGCAGCTAGGCTGGCTAACAGAGCCTTCGAGTCTACAATATGCGGCGACCAGTTCTCAGTCGTACTGGTAGTGCCGTTGGTCTGCTGTACGTAATCTTTGCGACTGACATGGCTGCCGAAGGGGCTCTCGTACAGGCTATCGCGGTAGAGTCCCCTGAGCACCTCGTCAGCAATGAGGCGTCCAGCACCGCCGTAGTTTACGGCTGCTGGAAAGTCTGGGTGGAACAGAGGGAACACAAAGTAGTCTTCAGCGACAGTGAGGGCGGCGTGCAGGCTCCATCGCTGGCTAAGAAAGGAACCTGGCTTGATCACGTTGGTCATGTCTTGTTCCAGGAGTCGCCAGCGCCCGCTCATAAGCTTCAACCAGTCGACGAAAAAGCGAGCTCCGTGCCTTGGCTCTGGCAGCATGGTCGCCAAGAAGCTCTCATTGCGCAGTAAAGTGGCACTCGGGGCCTGAAGCTGGAGGGGGCTTTTCTTGTGGCGCTCCAAGACACCAGCGAGAATGTCTCGTACGTCATGAATGAGTTCCTCCGCTTCACGACTCTTCGGAAACAAGCTCAGCCATTCGCTGCCCACGGTGTTTTCTACCTGCATCAGGCAACGATGCCAGTGTGCCGACGAAGGCAGGCCGGTAAGCTCCAGTGTCACATCTGCGATCTCTCGGCTCGCCATCCAGCCCAGCTCTTGAGCGACGCGAAGGCCTAAGCTGAGCGTGAGTGCCTCCCGCACTTCGGACCTGAGTCCCAGGAGGTAGACGACGGCCCGAAGAAGGCCGACATTTTCGACTTGCACAATGTCTTGCGCTGTGAAGCGGCGTGCCCAGATAAAGTACTCGTTTAAGAGAAGCAACAGCCGACCAGCAGCAATGCCCGGTGTTGCTGTTCCTGTGAGATTGCGTATCGACGTCCGGAGTATTCTCGAGTCTGGTTCGGCCATGGCAGGACCAAGCACTTCCAGTGTGAGCCGGTCCATCGCCTCGATCTTGGCGGCGACTTCATCTCGGACCGTTTCGGTAGCACCGAATATGTCCAGCATGGTTCGCACATACCTCCTGTACCGCAAGGAAGCTGTTGCGCGAGCTCGTTGGCCGGCGAACATCCGCATGGTGGTGATCCAGGTATGGAAGGCAACGCTGTGGCCAATTCTGAGTACGGGCTCCCCTGTTCCACCACGAAAGGGAGCCAGCTCGAAGCTCACGTGGAACCACAGATGCAAATTCCAGTTGCCAGACAGGTCCAGCAATATCTCCAAAAGATCCCAGCGAGATGTCATTGGCCATGGGAGATGGCGTTCGGCCATGAACCGTTTAAGTTCAGGCAAGCTACCCTGTGATATCTCCTTGCATGACTTCACAAGGCCAGCGACCTTGTTCGCGACACCAAATGCAGACTTCCCAACAGAACGAAGGCCGCTAACGTCTTCAGAGCGCCACTCGATGGCACTGTGCGCGCGACCATACATAGCGGCTTCCGCAGCGTCCACAACAGAGAGTAGACGATTTGGGTCTCTCCAACGGTCGCAAACGAATCGGTACAGATTTTGGCATGGGTCTTGAGATCTGTTGATCGAGAGCTCGATGGCAGCCATGTACTTGTGGCATGCTACCTCCGCGCACCCTGAAAAAAGCGGCAGATCTGCGTGGTCCGCGTGAGGCGCCCGCTTGTAGAAGGCACGGAAAACACCGCGGTCGATGACGCGAATCCACATTGACGCTCCCAAGTACAACACAAAGCTGACGACGCAGACGACGGCCGTCGCGTTCAGAATGGCCTTGTGTTTGGGGTTCATGCGCCAGTTTGCTTGAATCACAAGCACGTTGAGCCCAGCATGTCCCTACGTATGCGAAAAAAAGTAAATTAGTATACAGGATGTTTTTACACAGTACACAATTTCGGTAAAAATTCTCAGGCTTCTGTCACTTTCGCACACGATTTCTACGTCGTGGCGGAAGTACTTTGTCTGAGCAGAAACGTCGCTGTAGCTATTGATCAAGAAAAACTCGTTGATTAACTTCGAGATTATTTGAGTATCGTTGTTTGTACGACGAAGTTGGAGTGCAGGACAGATTATCCCATGACAATCTTTTTAATAGCAAAAGCTGCAGGTATAGGAATAATCAGCATGAAACCATGGAATCAGCATGCAGTCAGCACAGAATAATCAGACCGTAACTACTCGTCATCTGATCTGGCAAAATTCGAATGAACGCGCATCGTAGATGGGCGTATATATTTTCGTAAAAAATGCCAGGCCTACGCGAAACGCGCAGCACAGTCACAGTGAACTCTAGGCGGCCACTCAGAGCATTTTCTAAACATGCTTAAAAATAATACAAGCAAACTACTGGGTACCAACTATGCCATAAAAAATCAAATTTTGTGTAGTAGGCCAGCCTTCACTATGTCACTATTTCGTCATTCTTTCGAGAAGCGTGGTATCCGCTACACACTTGTTGGAAATTTCTGCACTTTTTTAGGGGCGAAGCTCCTTAAAGGGGCCATGACACGGTCACCCAACAATTTGCTGTTGTCAGCGGAAAACGAAGGTAGAGGATCAAATATGCCTAGACACGCGCGAAAGCTGGACTTTAAGAGGCTATTTCAGTGTAAAATAAGCCGTAGAAATCGTCAGCCATAAACTCCGCCCACCGCCGGCGACCGCCATGTTGACGTGACATGCAAGACGTCAAGAAAGGCGCGAAGCAACGCTGTCGTCTCCTAACAGCCACCTACCGCACGCGGTCAGTGTGTTGCTTGCCTCGTAGTCCGCGCGTTTTTAATGGTTGCGAGCGGTATCTGTGTGGCGGCGTGATACCGTGGTACCATCCCCATGTCATCGACACCATCAAACGATTCGGGCAGTGGGTCCCCTAAGCAGCAGGAGCAGCGACGTCATATACGCTACGGATTTAGATTTTGACCCCATCGGCACGAGCTCAAGCGGCGACTAAAGCGTAGAAGACGTGGCTAACCCAGTCGACAATGACCTCAGCGTTGTTTCAAACGTTTCTGATGGTCTCCCGCACTGGTAAGCAACCTCATTTTATTATTTTAAGCGTGCATGGTTTCTTTAAAAGTGAACCGCTTTTAGATTACGGGTGTCCGTCGACGCCACATTCGCGAGCACGTGTTCCCTCGCGCAATGAAATTCGCAAAGCGGGTAGAGTTTTGTCTTTTCCTTTCTGCGCACGTTCAGCTACCAAGCTTTGCCCTTGGCGGGCTCCTTCGGGTACCTGAAGAACGACACTTTACTTTCCCGGCTCCGTACGCTTTGGCACCCCATAGCACTACAAGGGCGACGCAGCGGCAGTATTTCAACCACTGTAAGTCACTACGTTCGAATGACAAGTTGAGCAAAGCTGAGACAGCTTGATTGCCCGCGCAGCTAACCATGAAACCAAATCGTCCTCCGGCATGCACACGCTCACACAGCAATCCTCTCTCTACGTCACGGCTGGCGAGCGCGTCAATGTTGCCCGACTCTCAAGCCACTCGCTCATTCAAGAAGAAAATTGATTTATATAATAATGGCTCGGCCAAATGCGCTGAAATTTCACCAGCCTCTTTGAGAACATAAAAGGATTAACTGGCATGTGACAGATTATGGTCGATTATTAGGTGTCATCACTCCCTTTAAGGGAGCACTGACATCAAATTTACTCGTGCTAAAATTTTTGCGTCAACGAATAGCTATAGACCCCGTAGCAGTGATTCACGACCTAAAATGCCAGTGAGGAATGAATAACTATCACTTTTATTGATTTATATCACTGGCACTATTCCAGACGGCCGGCAATCCCGCCATTTTTAGCGTTGGGAGCCCAACCAGTAGCGCTACCTCGCGGTCACCTCCAGATCACGCCACAGCTGACCACTTTTCCACAGAAGAGTGACGTCAGGCTCAGCTGTTCTGCAAACATTTTGTCTGCTAGGCGGACACATTCAGTCATGCTTTGTCACCTGCATTGCCATCGTCGATGTACAAGTTGTCGACTCGGGTCGAATACGATAGTCTGGAGCTTGGAATCCCCACGATTCACGACGTCGTGAATTATTTTTGCTTCAATCAACTCTTTACAGAACAGCGATTCCGAGCAGCACTGATCAGGACGTTCCCGGGAATGCATGCTTCAGCGATGTTCGCTCGTTTGTCTCAATAGCTATATTTGTGTGTTTTGGTCTGCCCAGCATTCTGGTATACGCAGAGAGCTCAAGGGAAGATCGCTAATGAGCATTAGCGGATAAATAGAATACGTTCATAGCCTTCATAGATTACGAGAAGGCGTTTGATTCAGTAGAAATATCAGCCGTCATGCAGACACTGCGGAATCAGGGCGTAGATGAAGTATATATAAACATTCTGGAAGAAATCTACAGGGGATCAACTGCTACCATAGTGCTTCATAAAGAAAGCAACAGAATACCAATCAAGAAGGGTGTAAGACAGGGGGACACAATCTCCCCAATGATATTTACCGCGTGCTTACAGGAGGTTTTCAGAAGCCTAGAATGGGAACAGTTAGGGATAAGAGTTAATGGAGAATACCTTAGTAACCTGCGCTTCGCCGATGACATTGCATTGCTGAGTAACTCAGGGGACGAATTGCAACTCATGATTACGGAGTTAGACAAGGAGAGCAGAAAGGTGGGTCTTAAAATTAATCTGCAGAAAACGAAAGTAATGTACAACAACCTCGGAAAGAAGCAGCGCTTCGAGATAGGCAATAGTACACTTGAAGTTGTAAATGACTATGTCTACTTAGGGCAGGTAATAACCGCAGAGCCTAACCACGAGATTGAAGTAACTAGAAGAATAAGAACGAGGTGGAGCACATTCGGCAAGCACTCTCAAATTATGACAGGTAGATTGCCACTACCCCTCAAGAGGAAGGTATACAACAGCTGTATCTTGCCGGTACTTAGCTACGGAGCAGAAACCTGGAGACTTGCAAAGAGGGTTCAGCTTAAATTGAGGACGACGCAGCGAGCAATGGAAAGAAAAATGGTAGGTGTAACCTTAAGAGACAAGAAGAGAGCAGAGTGGATTAGGGGACAAACGGGGGTTAAGGATATCACAGTTGAAATAAAGAAGAGGAAATGGACATGGGCCGGGCATGTAGCGCGTAGACAGGATAACCGCTGGTCATTAAGGGTAACTAACTGGATTCCCAGACAAGGGAAGCGGGTTAGGGGGAGACAGAAGGTTAGGTGGGCAGATGAGATTAAGAAGTTTGCCGGTATAAATTGGCAGCAGCAAGCCCAGGACCGGGTCATCTGGCGGAACATGGGAGAGGCCTTTGTCCTGCAGTGGACGTAGTCAGGCTGATGATGATGATGATGATGAATACGTTTCCTGCTTTTCGGGTCCTTTTTGCGCCTCCAGATGGCCCCACCTATCCAGCCTCTCGCGGTTGCGGCAGCCGTAACTCAGTATTGCGCAAACGCATAGAAGTCAACAGATGAACTAAAATTCAACGATACCTGAGTGTTACTTGTTAGCGATGATATCTGTCTATACAGTGTTCTACCTTGATAGCTTGTGGTCGTGTTGACGTGTAACATATACGTGGCATGAAAAGACACCCTCATTGCGCTTTTTCCGCGCTTCGAACGAGACAACTGCAACTCACTTGCAACTTGCTACGGTTCCCCGACATGCTGACCGACAAGCAAACGTTGAATCAAGTTCTTTTCTTTCGCAGTTATTTTAAAGGTGGTTTGCATCTTGGCAATTTCACCAAATCATTCAAAGCGGTGCGACAAAGATCAGACGCGACGAGCGAGTGCATTTCCATGCTTTGGCGCCAGTTGGCGCCACGATAAGAACACTCGTATTGTAGACGTCATCACTACTAGCGCATCGTCACTCAGGATGGCATTTGTGGAATGTATCACACCGAACACGTAGCACTAGTGTCGATGTCGCAGGGCACTCTATTTTCAATAAACTCTCGTAGGCTGTTTGACGTCAAAATAAAATAACTTCCACGCGACGAATTCGGTTCAAATTTGGTCGACACGACCTATGAACACTGAGCAATCACAGAAAGGGTTTATCTCAATTTCGAAGTTTAATGTCAGTACTTTTTAAAAAAAAAGTACTGACAAGAAATTTACTCATGTCAAGATTTTTGCGTCAACGAGTAGCTGTCGACCCCGTAGTAGCGATTTGCGACCTAAAACGCATCTGAGGTACGAATGAATATCTGTAATATTCGTTTATATATCCGCTGTTGAAAATCCGATGTTTATATATCCGATGTGGTTCAAAATGAGTCGAAAGCCCAGCAAATTGTAGTGCCAGCTGTCAGCGCTACTTCGAGGACACGTCGAGGCCGTTGCACAGCTGATGCTGCTTTCACAAAAATGGTGACGTCATGCACACTGGCATTTCGTCTGCTAGGAGCGCACGTGCAGTCAGTCCAGCTGTGTCTCTGATGTAGACAAAAGCCACTTCATGCGTTTTCCGCCGGCTCGGTTAAGTAGCGCCAACTAGTTCTTCCCCTCTCCCTTTCGCCCCGGCCTCGAGAAGGGGCCTCGTACTGCCATTGAAACCCAACTCGTTCGCCAACACAGGATTTACTCTGTACCAGCTCGGCGCAAAGTGAAGCGAGCAAATGCAGCTAGGCGTCCAGACCCTTTGTCCATCGGCGCGTACGAAGTCAACCCACTGGCTGCATTGAGATTCGTGGCTTGGGAAGGCATGAAACGCCACGCACTTTCCGCTTTTTCCGCGCCTCGACATTCATGGTTCCCCGACAACTGCACAGCGGTTTCCCGACATTCTGGCATGCATTGTCACTTTGAATGATCGTTGATTGATTGATATGTGAGGATTAACGTCCCGAAACCACCATATGAATATGAGAGACGCCATAGAGGAGGGCTCCGGAAATTTCGACCACCTGGGGTGGTAGGCCCGTGTGCTCAGATTTGGGTGCACGTTAAAGATTACCGTGCAGCCAAATCTGAGCACACGGGCCTACATCGTTTCTGCCTCCATCAGAAATGCAGCCGCCGCAGCCGGGATTCGATTCCGACTAGCGTATCGTCGCTCAGGATGGTATTTGTGGAATGCATCACTAGTGTCGATGTCGCAGCACTAGTGTCGATGTTGCAGGACAGTCTATTTTCCGTTTTTTTTTCTCCTTAGCTTTTCTACGCTGTTTGTCATCGAATTTAAATAACTTCCACGCGACGGATTCCATTCAAGTTTGGCCAAGAAGACCTAGGCATACCAAGCAATCGAATGTTGGGCACATCTCGATCTTGAAGTGTGAAGTCAGTGCTGCTTTAAGGCGTGGGTCGTGCGTCTCCTGTATGTAGTAGCCACCTCTCGTTTTGGTCTTTGAAATGTCCGCTGGATAGCGGTACTTGTATATATATGATGAATATATGATAAAAAGATGCGAAATGGCGGTACTTGAAGTTTTCCCTAGATGGACGGACATACATGCAGTTGGAAGGACAGAGACGGCACGAGCGGACGAACGGAAGCATGCACGGACGGACAGACAGACTCACGGCGAAACGGACGGACAGACGGAAGCAGGGATGAACAGAAGAACGGAAACACGGACAGACGGGCCAACAGATGCACGGACGCATGGACAAATGGACCGACGGAAGTACGGATGGACGAATGGACACGACAGAAGCTCGAAAAAACGGACGGGCGGAAGTACGGACGCACGAACGGACCGACGGATGCACATATGGACGGACGGATGTAAGCGCGGGTGGAAGCACGTGCGAACAAACGGACGCTTTGCCCCACTCATCATCATTCGCTTCATGTACATGATGTGATTTTTTATGCAGTGGTTGATGACGATGATTAAATATGCCTAAAAGTGATAGGTGATCAACACCAAGCTTTCTAATCGAATGGAGCATTGGACGACACACTCGTTACGCAATTCTCATAGTGTGACGCCTGGTTTTTTTTTTTATATTCTAAAACGCTTTATTACTCATACTACCTCGATTACTTCCCGACATCAAACCTGCCTAAGGACAGTTTTGAAAAAGAGCTCGAAGCACTTTGTAACGTCCATTGGACATTTGTCGAATTGACCTTACGGCTCAATAAAACTTGTTGGTAGGCTAGTTGGTCATTCATCATACTGCAAGATGTTTAGCACTACCTTGACTTTCGCAAACACGTATCAATATATACGAAAACGCAAGAAAAAATATCTAGGAAAAAGACTCTGGCGCGCAGTATCGAGGGTGGGATCTCTGAATCGTGAGTGCGAGGCGTCAGCCACTGAGCCACAAAGAAGCACCTCCTTCGACGTTCAAACGGCAAGGTACTTATATCAACCGCTTACCGCTGCTGACGGGCATCTCGGAGGCAAATATCTTGTTTTTCAGAATTACCAACAAGATGGCGCAATGAGCGCGCGCCGCCGCGTCGGGTCGCGACGATGCGCTCTCAACTCCTACGCGTACTTTGCCACGCGGAGACGAGGTAGAATGGACACTCACGCGTGCGCTTATCTCGCGCTGGGGGGGCCATCGTACATCTTGGCCGACTCTGGGCTTTCACCGGAACAATTATGTCGTACTCACCGAGTGCACAAAAGGTCACTGCGATCATTGCACAGGCTCCGTTTGCGAAAAGGGCGCGCTTTTCAGGCACAGCAAAGCAACTACTGAGACGCTTATTTGCGTTCATCTGTACCTGTAAGTACGTTTCGCGCGTCATTTGTTCGTGAAAAATGCTGAGAACATTTCGATGTGCTTGCCATTCTGCGCGTAACCTTCCAATTTTTTTGCTATCGCGTTCATTGCTTCGCCTTTGCAAAGCTGCGACTTTTTTTTTTTATTTCGATTCTGGTTACGCACACTGGCGGCGGCGGAGCACTATGGCATCGCGCATGACCCGTCTTCTGATCCAGTAACAGATTTTGCTGAAAAAAGCTGCAACTTATTAGACTTCTGACAACGGATCGCCTTCTTAGCGCGTGTGGTGCTTGGTGTACATCTGTTTCTTTCGACCTATGCGCGAGGAAAGGTCAACATGTTTCTTATTTTTTTTTTCGAAGCATAAAAGTCAAAGCCAGTCACTTAGTTTTGAATCTTTTTATTTTTTTAACTGCTTACGCCTGGCATTTATTATTTTGGCCCAGCTGTATATGCGTGACAGTGTACAAAATCACTGCAATACTGCACTTTTATTTTGGTAGCGAATTTCTTACAACATGCGCGCCCAAGGGGAGTTTCGCCAGGCCGTAGCATTGCGGGCATCAATCTTATACGAAGGAGCTTCAGCAAGTAGTAAATACTGTCGCAATGTTTGGCTTCAAGTCAACCGCTACGAACTACGTCAACGTAATAGAGAGTTTTAACGTCCGCAACGGCCTAGCGCACGCATCGCCCAAGAGGAGGCACGGCTGCGCATGCGCTGTACGTAAGAGAGATGCGTGGGTTTCAGCACACGAGGGATACGCACACTAGATGTCGACTCTTACGTTGCGCACGCTACAGCCGTTGGGTACCTAACCAGTAGCTCTCGCGAGATCTCCCCCTCGTGAGATCACGAAAACCAAGATGGCTGCAACAAACAGCAGCACAAGCAGCAGTGCAGTCATGACTGCGAGTGAATCCCACGTGCATTTTACAATTGCGCTCAATACGGAGCTCTTTGCTTACATGAGGAGCTCAAATCCGTTCGCAAACCCCGTACAATGGTTATCGCTGTGAAAATACAGGAGCTGACGGGGATGCCTTTCAAAGCCCGGAATGCCCGCAGTCGGGTGGAGCTGCTTCCCTAGAAAGTGTTCAAAAGGCGGTGATTCGAAAAAATGCTTGGCGGCATATTCCCTCTCTCGCAGCTGCCCGTCTCGTCGGAGCCATAGCACCGTCGCCAGTCACCACAAATCACCTAAATGAAAATCGCGCATCGTGAAATCTTGGCTCGTCTCGTTTCTTGACTCATGTCAACCATGGTTGGCTATTGTAGTTTATTGCCGAGTGACTAAGTGGCGCCAAGTGGCACTTCAAAACTAAGGTGTTGAAGCTTAGGCGCAGTCCATGTGTCCGTTGTCGCGTACGCTAAACTAATACTGTAAGAAGCAGCCTCAGCTGTCACGTACGTAGCGTGCTAGCCATTGCACACGTACCGTCTTGCACGCGCTTAACTAAAACTCTCTAATATTGAGTCGCTATTTGCCCATTGTGCCTTTAGCAGACATGTCAACTTCCCCAGCACTTTAGAAATACTTTGCGGTTCTACGTAATTTCGGCACTAAACGTAGGCTGAGAACAGTTTCGTACTATTGAAGCAGGGGTATAGCCAGACGGTGACACACACCGGGTCCATGTCCCCTCCCCCTCCCTATTTTTTTCGCCATGGCATAGAGAGGGAAAAATGACTATTTCAAGTAGGTTCTCTCTCCGAAATCAAAAGAGGTGCCCCCCCCCCCCTCCCCGAAAAAAATTCTTGTCTTCACCCCTGTATAGCAGTTCGCGCTAAAGCGTGATGCTCTTTATCACAAGTAGCGTTCGCGAGCTGAATTCGATTCGCGGGGATCGTGAGTCCTTGAATACAGCGTGTTCAGTTTATTACACTGTTACAAACGCGCGCACTGGAAGCTCATATGACGTTGCCTGGACAGGACTGGACAGGAAGCCCGCATAGGGACCGTTTGCACAGCAGTTTCGATCACGCATACCTTCTCTGACGTGTACCTTAATGCATGTCACCCATATAGATGTCGCCTTCTGTCTGCGCACGCACACATAAGAATTGGCGGCTATTAATGCTCACCGACCCAACGCGCTTGCGTTCACGCTCAGCCTGACCAACTTCCTTCCCGCTAGACTTGAGTACTTAGCGCGGCCAACGTATTCGTACGTGCGCGCCGGCTTGTTTCGTCGATTTCCCAGCACTCACCTGTGCGGCCGCGGGAGCAGGCTGCGGCAGCCGGAAGGCAGACGTCGCTGAAGAATCAACCACGGTGTCTGCGCCGTCACCACTGGCCGCCATATCTGCCATAAGCCTTGCAGCCGCCTCCGCCTGGTCCGCCTCATGGAGCTCGTGCACCTCAAGGATATCTTGGCTCGGCTGGCCCGCCGTGCGTCTGGAACTGCGGGAATTGTTCCGCCCCGAACCCGACGAGTTTGAGCTGTTGGTGCTGCGCAGAGTGCTGACCCCTGCGACGGTTAACGCGGTGTTCATGGCCTTTACCCTGTATCTGGCAGGTTGGAGTGCTGGCCTGAGTGAAAAGGCTGCCACTGGCGGTCGGCGATGGCGTCCTAACTGTGCGTGCAAACGTCGGACAGCCGCTCGTTTTGCTCGTGAAACAGCGGCTCATGCGCAACTTTTCGTGTAAGACGCATACCCACAACGGAGATCGCCTGCATCACAAGGACAAAAGAAAAAGAAGGAACCAAAAAAGCTCCGGAGCTTCACCCACCTCACCATCATCCACTCCGTGGAGATGCTGGATTTTTTTACGTGGGTTTATCTTTAGTCAGGCAGCAGTGAAAAGTGGGCTGTGGAAAATTTCTGTTGCAAACACCTGCTAGGCGTTATCTGCTGAGTACTAAATTGTCGCCGAATCATCGTCTTAAAAATGCGGCACACGGAATATAACTAGAGCCAGCGTTTCCTCCAGTTATACCCTTGGCACACGTAGCAACTTGAGTGCACTTTGAGCGAGTACACTTAGTACAACTTGTACAAGATGCTCCATGCTCCAAAATCAGCTTATTCAAACACTTGTTTATTTTCACACTCATGCTAAATATTACCTGGTTATAATAGGCGTATTTCTGCACCATAAATCACTAAATGACTGCAAATTTGTATGTACAAACGCCACACGAGTCTTCCGCGAGTGTATGCAGATGCCGTATTTACATACTGCCATCATTTTCTGCATTTTGCTGTTGATGTCGATGATGATGCCAATGCTTTTTATTTTCAGACTTTCAAACTTTTACCTGATAACGTTCACAATAATCTTTAAAATTATAAAACGTTTTATTTTTTACTTACTACTGTTCATAATTTTGTGTAGCATTTCAAAAATATATACGTAGCATAAAACTAACTTTGTTTTTTTCACTTACACAAGCTTTGGAGACAAAATCCGAGTCACGATAAATCAACACAAAAACCACATGGGCGCCTTGAAACGGTGCGTTCGCAGCGCGTGGTTGCTTGTTTTACAGACCTCCGTGATTCGTAATGTCTATGGCGCCTACTGCCATTGACAACTTGTGTTTTCTCGCTCGGCCACGACTAACGGCGAAAAGGCTCTAGCATTGCTACAGACGTCCAGCGATGATGATGATGATATATGGTGTTCTTTGGCGCAAAGCCATTTGATGGCCAAAGAGCGCCAATTCATGGGACAAAGAATGTGGACAATGATTGTGATTAGCGGCTGTATAAGGGCCATAAAATTCCTCGCGGTAAGGCGGGTAAAAACATACAAGTAGTAAAATCATGACCATGCCGTGAAAGGTGTGTGGTGCGAATAGGTGATGAAAATTGGTGATAATAAAAGACGATGGTGGATATGTATGGCATTAGCACAAGTGCCTCACTCGTTCATACCCTTGCGTCCAAGGGCCGTGAGGCAAGTGCTTTTTTGTGTAGCCACCGCAGCGAAAACCTCTCAGGAGAGGTCGTGCTACGGAATGCCGGGGAATATGATATGGAAACTATAAATTTCTCTTAAAAACGCGAATAATGACTTATGACTAAAAAGCGGTTCCCTACCGACGAACATTGCAGGGTCTAAAGGTATATGTTGTCGGTAGGGTAATGGAAAGTGTTGTTTTCTTAGAGCGTCCAATCGTTTGCACTGAATTAAAATGTGAAAGACTGTTAATCCTTCACCACATCTGTCACACAATGGTGGATTCCCACCGGACAAAAGATGTGTGTGTGTCGTGTATGTGTGTCCTATCCTGAGTCTTGTAAGTATTACCTCTGTATGACGCGATTTCGATACGGGCAGCCAATGACCAAGGTGTGGCTTAACAATGTGTAGTTTGTTTTGTGTGTGTGTATCCCACTTGCTCTGCCAGTAGTCCTTGAGATTTCGTTTGAGAGACGGCTTAAGATCAAGGGCCGGGATCGATAAAGGTGTAATGGCGGTGCTTTCGTGGGCGGATGCAGCAAGCTGATCCGCCATCATGTTGCCTTGAATCTCACGGTGCCCTGACACCCAGCACACAACAACATGTCGGTTGAGTGTGTAGAGTGTGCATAAAATGGAGTAAAGTGAAACGAAGACAGGTTTTTTTTGTTTTTTAAGACTTTGCAGAGCCGTTACCACACTGAGGGAGTCTGTATAAATTACTGCTTTTTGTATTTGTGATTGTTTTATGTGTTTAGCTGCCACGAGTACCGCGTAAGCTTCCGCTGTGAAGATACTTGTGCCTGGATGTAGAGGGCCAGCATCCGAAAAGGAAGGGCCAACAGCAGCGTAGGACACAGAGGAGTTAGACTTAGAGGCATCTGTAAAAAACTCAGGACGTGTGTATTTGTGTTGAAGTTCCAAGAAGTATGTTCGAATATGGGCAATAGGCGCATGTTTAGTAACTTCTAGGAAAGACACATCGCAATCTATATTCTGCCACTGCCACGGTGGCGGGTATGCTACAGGAGCCATTAAAATGTGTTCGAGTGACACTCCAGTGTCCTCAGCTAGACCCTTCAGTCGAACTGAGAAGGGCTGCCTCATTGAAGGCCTGTTTTGGAAAAGAATGGCGCTCGACAAGTCATTAATAGTAGAGTATGAGGGGTGCCTCTTGTCTGCCTTCACTTTAAGGAAATATACAAAGGACATGTAGGTTCTTTGCAGATGAAGCGACCACACATTTGACTCAACGTAAAGGCTTTCTACGGGGCTGGTGCGAAAAGCACCCGTAGAAAGGCGGATGCCCGAATGGTGCACGGGATCCAGTATATTCAAAGCACTTTGAGTCGCAGACTGATAAACAATGGCCCCATAATCTAAGCGGGTGCGAATTAGGCTTCTATACAGGTTCATGAGGCATTTCCTGTCACTACCCCACGTAGTACGTGACAAAACTTTTATAACATTCATGGCTTTTAAACATTTTGTTTTTAAATACTTTATGTGAGGTACGAAGGTCAACTTGTTGTCCACGATTAAGCCTAAGAATTTATGCTCGGCTTTGACGGACAGACGTTGCCCGTTCAGTCGAATGTCAGGTTCCGAGTGCATGCCTCTCTTTCGAAAGAACAAGACACACGTGCTTTTTTGTGGGTTAAGTCGAAATCCGTTTGCATCTGCCCCTTTGGAGACCTTATTTAAACCCAGCTGAACCTGCCGCTCACACATGGCCAAGTTGCCTGACTTGAAGCCAAGCTGAGCGTCGTCGACATATGTACAATAGAACATATTGCGGGGAATGGACAAGTGCAAAGAATTCATTTTAATAATAAAAAGTGTGCAACTAAGCACACCACCTTGTGGCACGCCTGTTTCCTGCACAAATGTTTGAGAGAGCACACTGCCCAGACGGACACGGAATGTTCGGTTTGACAGGTAACTTTCGATTATATGAAACATTCTTCCGCGCACGCCAAGGTGTGACAGGTCTCTTAGAATTCCGAAACGCCATGTTGTATCATAAGCCTTTTCGATATCGAGGAACACAGAGAGAAAATACTGTTTATGGACGAAGGCGTCTCTGATCTGTGCCTCGATACGAACAAGGTGGTCTGTGGTGGATCTACTTTCTCGAAAGCCGCACTGAAATGGGTCGAGCAAAATATTTGTTTCAAGAAAATGTACAAGTCGGCAGTTTATCATTTTTTCGAGGACTTTGCACAAGCAGCTTGTAAGTGCTATAGGCCTATAACTCGAGGGTAAAGAAGGGTCCTTGCCCTCTTTCAAAATGGGAATAACAATAGCCTCTTTCCAGGCCGTAGGAATAGTGCCAGAAGACCAAATAGCATTGTACAAACAAAGTAGGGGTTTTCGGGTTTCGTTTGGTAGGTTTTTTAACATTTCATACATCACACGGTCAGAACCTGGGGAAGAAGTACTGCAGGAGTTTAGAGATGTTTGGAGCTCAGCTAGACTGAAAGCTTGGTTATATGCCTTGGTATCTAGTGGATTTGTGTTCGAGTTTTTGCTTTTCTATTCTTGTTCTGTAGTTTTGGAAAGTGTCAGTATAGTGGCACGAGCTGGATACCTGTTCGAAGTGTGCACCGAGGAAATTTGCCTGATCTTCCAAGGTATCACCCTGAGTGTTTACGAGGGGAAGTTCGTGTACTTGTTTTCCTGCTATCCTACTGACCATGTTCCATACTTTAGCCTCCTGTGTGTATGAATTAACCCCTGATAAAAACTTCTGCCAGCTTTCTCTTCTGGCCTGCCGACGCGTTCTCCTGCCTTGAGACTTTATTTTCTTGAAGGTTTCAAGATTTTCGGCTGTCGGTGAGTTACGAAGCAGCCTCCAAGCTCTGTTTTGCTGTTTGCATGCGTTTCGGCATTCATCGTTCCACCATGGCACACATCGTTTTCCAGGGTGTCCATTTGTTTGTGGGATGCATTTTGTTGCAGCATCAATCAAAAACGCTGTGAAGTAGTTCACAGCAACATCAATGTTCAAAGTACAGATGTCATTCCAACCTAGACAAGCGATAGTATAAAACTGTTCCCAGTCGGCTCTGTTTATGAGCCACTTGGGAACACGTGGTGGACACTCAGTTACTGTCGTTGTGCTCAAAACTACGGGAAAGTGGTCACTTCCGTACAGATTACTGACAACTTTCCACTGGAGTAGAGGCACAAGAGATGGAGATACTATGCTCAGGTCTATAGAGGAGTAGGTGTTATTAGCGAGGTTATAATAGGTTGGTTCTTTTCGATTTAGGAGACACGCGCTCGATGAGATAAGGAACTGTTCGATCAGTCGACCTCGCGCGTCATGCCGAGAGTCACCCCATAGCCTGCTATGCGCATTAAAGTCTCCAAGAAGAACATAAGGTTCCGGAAGTTGATCAATTAAAGAGTGTAAATCACGTTTTTGCAGCTGATAGCTAGGAGGAGTGTAAATAGTGCAGATTGTGATCAGTTTATCAAAAAGAACCGTTCGAACAACCACTGTCTCAAGGGATGTTTGTAGTTGTGTGTGCATGCAGTTCCTTGTTTCACTATGATGGCAACACCTCCGGATGATGTCATG